AAAAATTACACTAAAAATAAAGGGAAAGTCAAGTGGAACACTATGGACAGTCATCTATCACTAGGAAATAGGGCAAGAGATGATGAAAGAAACAAGGAAGAAGTACAAAAACAACCAGAAAATGATGAACAAAATGCCAATAATTCTCATCAACAATTACTTTATATGGAAATAGTCTAAATGTTCCATCAACAGACATGGGGTGAATGAATGCATAACAAAACAAGACCCATCCATCTGTTGCCTGTGGGGGACTCACGTTAGACCCTAAGACATACAGAGACTGAAAATGAAGACATGGAAAAAAGATAATTCATGAGAATGGAATAAAAAAAAAACCTTGAGGTAGCAATATGTATGTTAGACAAAACAGAAATTAAAACAAAGATTGTAACCAGGCAAGGAAGGGCACTGTAGAATGATAACAGGATCAATCTAACAAAAGCATATAACAAGTGTGAATATCTAGGCACTCAACATTTGTACATCTAAATACAAAGCAAATATTAACAGATAAAATACAATAATAGTAGGGAAATTTAACACACTGTCTTTCTCATCCAGGCAAAAAACAAATAAGAAAACCATTTCCTTGAATTACACATTAGACCAGATATATTCAGAACATTCCACACAAAAACCACAGAATTCACATTCTTTTCAAGTGGACATGGAGTTTTCCCTATAAGAGATCATCTGTTAGTCAACAAAACAAGTCTAAATAGAGGAAAGAAGAGTGAAATCATATCAAGCTTCTTTTCTGACCACAAAGATATGAAACTAGAAATTATAAGAAAAAATTTGAAAAAAATATGGAAAAAAAAACGGAAGCTAAACCACATGCTACTAAACAACCAACAGGTCAATGCAGAAATCTGACAGGAATGGGGGTGCCTGGGGGCTCAGTTGGCTAAATGTCCAACTTTAGCTCAGGTCATGAGTTCACGGTTCATGGGTTCGAGCCCTGCATCCGGCTCTGTGCTGACAACTCAGAGCCTAAAGCCTGCTTCGGATTCTGTGTGCTTCCCCCCACCCCTCCCGCTGCTCATGCTCTCAAAAATAAATTAAATAAATAAATAAATAAAATATAAAAGGACTATTATATATATGTAATATATAATATACATGCAATAGAATATATAATAATTTTATATATATAAAAAGGAATAAAAAACTCATGGTGACAAAGGAAAATGAAAAAACAACAGTCCAAAAACACTGGCACACAACCAAAGCAGCTGTAAAAGAGGGAAATGTATATTGATGCAAGCCTGCCTCAAGAAATCAGAAAAACCTCAAATAATCTAACCTTACATCTAAAGAACTGTTAAAAACAAAACAACAAAACCCTAAATTAGTAGAAGGAAAAAAAGATGAGAGCAGAAATATATAAAATAAATAGTAAAAAACATGGAAAAGAGCAGTGAAAGCAAGAGTTGGTTCTTTGAAAACATAAACAAGACTGCCATGCCCTTCACCAAATTCACCCAGAGAAGACAGAGAAGACCCGAATACACAAAGTCCAAAGTGAGACCCACGTAACATGTGGCACCTCAGAAACACACAGGATGATATGGCACTACTATGAAAGATTTCATGCCACCAAACTGGACAATCTAGAAGAAATGGAGACACTCCTAGAAACATAAAATCTTCCAAGAATGAATCGAGAAAAAATAGAAAATCTGAACAGACTGAATACTAATAATCAAATTTAATCAGTAATCCCAAACACCCAACAAACAAAAGTGTAGGGCCAGATGGCTTCACAAATAAATTCAACCAAGCATTTAAATTTTTTTTATGCTTACTTTTAAGAGAGAGAGAGCACAAGCAGGGGAGGTTCAAAGAGAGGGAGACACAGAATCCGAAGCAGGCTCCAGGCTCTGAGCTGTCAGCACAGAGCTCGACCTCATGGACTGTGAGATCATGACCTGAGCTGAAGTCGGACGCTCAACCGACTGAGCCACCCAGGTGCCCCATCTACCCAACATTTAGGTAAGACTTAATATCTATACTCCCTAAACTATCCCAAACAATCAAAGAGGAAGGAAAACTTCCAAATTTATTGTACAAAACCCTTATTCTGACATCAAAATCAGACAAAAACACTACCAAAAAAAAAAAAGGAAATACAGACCAATAAGCCCAAAGAATATAGAGCAAAAATCCTCAATAAAATATCAGCAAAGGACATTCAACAATAAATTATGAGGATCATTCACCATAATCGAGTGGAATTTATTCTAGGGATAGAAGGCTGGTTCGATGACCTGCAGATCATTCAGTGTCATAGACCACATTAACAAAGTTAAGGATAAAAATCACATTATCATCTCAATTGTGCCGAAAAAGCAAAAAAATTTCAAATCCACTAATGATAAAAACTCTCGGCAAAAAGGGTTTAGAGGGAACATACCTCAACATAATAAAGGCCGTGAAGGACAAGTGTAGAGCTAACCATACTCGGTAGTGAAAAACAGGACTTTTCCTTGACGATCAAGGACCAGACAAGAAGTCCACTCCCACCACATGTATTCAAAGTCACACTGGAAGTCTGAGACATAACAGACAACAGAAAGAAAGAAATGGCATCCAAAGGGGTAAAGAACTAAAACTGTCAGTGCTGGCAGATGACATGATGCTGCATGTAGAAAACCCTAAAGACTCCACCGAATACCATTAAAATAAATGAATTCAGTGAAGCTGCAAGATACAAAATCAATATACACAAGCCTGTTGCGTTTCTATGCACTCTTAACAAAAGAGCAGAGAAACTAAGAAAACCATTCCATTTATAGTTGCACCAACATGAAAAAAGCACCAAGAAAACACTTAACCCAGGAGGTGAAATACCAGTAACCTAAAAGTACAGAATTCTGATGAAATAAATGCAAGACAACACAAACCAGTGTTAACATATCCAGATCGAGAAGTGGAAAAATTAATGTTGCTAAAATGTCCACACCATTCAAAGCAATCTGTAGATTCAATGCAATCCCTATCAAAGTACCCACAGCATTTCTCAGAGAACTAGAACAAAGAATCTTAAATCTGTATGGACCCATAAAAGACCCTAAATAGCCCAAGCCATCTTGAGAAAGAAGAACCAAGTTGGGGGTGTCACGTTCCCAGATTCCAAGATAACCTACGAAGCTGTGGTGATCAGAACAGTATGGAACTTGCATAAAAGGAGACACACAGATAACAGAAAAGAAAGCCCAGAAACAAACCCAAGCTCATATGGTCAACCCATTAAAAAGAATACACAATTAAAAAACAATAATTGAGGCAATAAAGGGTGCTCGGAAAACTGACCATTACCTGCAGAAGAATGAAACTGGACCGCTTCCTTATGCCACACACAAAAATAAACTTAAAATGGATCAGTGACTTAAATGGGAAACCTGATACCGTATAACTCCTAGAAGCAAACACAGGTGGTAAGCTCGGTGTTATGGGCCATAACCTTTTTCTAGGTATGTCTCCTCAGGCGAGGGAACCAAAAGCAAAAATGAAGTATTGGAACTACACCAAAATTAAATGCTTTAATACGGCAAGGAAACCATCAACAAAACAAAAAGGCAACCTACTGAATGAAAGAAGGTATTTGCAATTACATATCTGATAAAGGATTAATACCCAAAATATGTAAAGAACTTACACAAGTCAACTCCCCTGCCAAAAACAAATGCTCTGATTACAAACTAGGCCGAGGACTTGAGTAGACATTTTTCCAAGAAAACATACAGATGAAAAGATGCTCAACATCACTAACATCAAAGAAGCACAGGGACTTACCAGCTTACACCTGCCCTAATGGCTAGTGTCAAAAGACCAGGGATAGCAAGCGTTGCTGAGAATGGGCACAAAAAGGATCCTTTGTGCTCAGCTGGTGGGAATTCAGATGGCAGCCACCGTGGAGAACAGTATGGAGGTTACTTAAAAACCTCAAAGTACAAATACCATACCTATTCAGGAATTCCACTACTGCATATTTACCCAAGAAAAACAAAAATATTCATTTGAAAAGATAAACATACCCCTCTATTTATTGTGGCATAATTTATAATAGCCAAGATGAGGATACAACCTCGGTGTCTCCTGAGAGATGACACGAGTGGACGCAGCAGAGTGTATGAATGGAGAGTGTGTATGTGCAGACACACACAGAGAACAGATAACTCAGTCCTGAAAAAGAATGAGATCTGGCTATTTGTGACAGTATGGATAAACCGAGAGAGTGTTACTCTAAGTGAAGTAAGTCAGAGAAAGACAAATACCATAGGACTCCATCTCTATGTGGAATCTAAGAAACAAATCAAACAAACCAATAAACAACACGGAAGCAGACCCGTAAACACAGAAGACAATCCAGTGGTGGCCAGAGGGTATGGGGGACGGACAGAATGGGTGGAACGTTGTGGGAGGTACAGGCTTCCAGCTCTGGGATGAGTCAGTCATGGGGACAAAGGGTACAACACAGGGAGTACAGTCGATGGTGTTCTATGCTGTGTGGGGACAGATGGCAGCTACACTCGTGGGGGACACAGCACAGACCTGTTGAACCCCTGTGCTGCACCCCTGACACTAATGTGACATGGTGTGTCAACTGTACTTCAATTTACAAAAAAGGACTGCTTTCTTCACGTGCCTACGCCCAGCATGGTGACCCCGTGTGACCGAAACCAGATGTGTACGAACCTGCCGACGCTGTTAGCCACCGCATGGCTAACTGTGACCACACACGAACAACACGTGGCAATCCACATGATCACTAAAGGCTTTTTCTTACCAGGATATACGTGATTTAGAAATTAAAAACTATATTGCCATTCTTTCTATAACAAAATAAAGATTTTAAAATGTCCTGTACATTGTAAAAATGATAAAGGGCACAATATCTTGACTAGAAATCCGTTGCAGTGCAGGTGAGGTCAGAAAGTAAAGAGACAATACACAGACAAGACTACGCCATCACGAAGGCAGAGGCGCCTTACCTGGGGGATCCAGCCCACACAGCAAGGGAGGACGGGCGACACGCTGGGAGAGTCGTGCTGGTTCTCAGCGAGCCGGCTCCCGTCAAAGCTGCAGCCTTCCAGCAGCAAGCCGCCCATCTGCGGGGAAACAACAAGCTGTGAGATCACAGCCGGAAACTTCAGGTCACCGCATTCTAATGACCATGGGTGCCAAGTACTATGAAAACAGAGATGAGGGTATTAAATCTGAGAACAAAAACAGGAAGACCCAGACCGGTGTTCAGTGATCTCGCTGTAGACTGAATTCTCGATTTTAGTGGATACTTTATTATTTATTGAGCAGATTGTTTAGAAAAAAATACAAACGTCATTAGTTAAAACTGCAGGTATGTGGGCATTAGGTTAATAGAAATATAACGGAAAATGCCAAAAAGTTACTCTTTCTCCAAGAGGGTGAAATAAAAGCATAAAGGAGATTATGTGCTCCCTGCTTGGAATTCTGACGTCATTTTTAAAAGAACAGAACGAAAGTCAGAAAGTTGAATGAAAAACACTTTACACATGCCATGCAGAGCTGAGAGAATAAAAAAGAGTTAGGGACACCTGGGTGGCTCAGCCAGTTAATAAGCATCTGACTCTCGATTCTGGCTCCAGTCATGATCTCCCAGTTCGTGGGACCAAGCCCTGTGTCAGGATCTGTGCTGATGGTGTGGAGCCTGCTTGGGATTCTCTCTCTGCTTGTCCCAACTTGTGTGCAAGCACTCTCTCTCTCTCTCTCTCTGTTTCTCTCTCAAAGTAAGTAAACTTAAAAAAAAAAAAAAGGTAATCTTTTTCTCTAAATTAACCTTTGTGTACATTTAGGAAATTATGAAACTAGAAATATACTTTTTTGGTAATATTTGTTCCATATTTCTTCTTCAAAAGTATTCATTCTTTTAGTTTCTGCACTGTGAATCTACCCTGAGTTTTTTCAAGACATCAAATCTAAAATCAGTATTTTGTATTTAGAGCCACACCTACAGTCTCAGAAAATACAAAACAATCTTACGAGTGTGACAGAGTTTCAACATGTTAAATGAGTGCTCAACCTGCCCTAATGGCTAGTGTCAAATACCATTAAACATGTTTCAACATGTTAAATGAAAGTGCTCTAGAACTTAGAGTCATGACAACACTTTGCGCTGGTGTAGTGTGTATTTTAGGGAGTGGTGGAGGTGTGGGGAGACACTAGCAGACGCCTTGACCAACAGTTTTGAACAGCTAATTTTACAGCACGGTTGCCCTTCCACAGAAAGATGAACGACGTGTTTGCTTGCGCGAGAGCTGGAGTAACGACAGAATTACGGAACGCCTAACTTTAATATTCTCCAACAGCACTGACCTGATGGTGTACAGGCTACTTTAAGAGCTGGTAAACCATGTTGGCCTTGAAAAAATGTTAATTAAAATTGAGAGTACCTGCTAATTTCAGTGCTAGAACCTCTCCAGGTAAGACCTCCACCTAGGTAAGAGGTAAGGCCTCTTCTAAAAATTCCATCAAGTTTCAAGCTCCATTAGTCTGCCTAGAAATTTGTAAACACACGTCCCACTGACGGTGCCACAAGCTGGCTATGTAAGATGAGTATACGGGGATAGAAACTCTTGCTGTTTCTCTCCTCACCAGGAAGGGCTGCTGAGAAACAGGCCCCTCCGGAACCTACCCCTCCCTAGCCTGAGGCTCCTCATGGGCTGCCGACAGACGTCCTTAACTCTCCCAACCCTCCCACAGGCCATCAAACTGCCCACACCCGCCACTTGCAATCAACACCTTCGAAATCTTTCCTTTTCTCTCCACACCCGCTCAGATTACCCTGTCATGAAATTTAAAGTCCATCTGTGAAATTCAAAGACCTCCCATTCCCTAGAATGAAATAATGTAAACATATTAGGGATCGGAATGATATCAACAAATGCTACCCTTGCTTCAAATGCAGTTATTCTTTTTTTTTTTTTTTTAACGTTTATTTATTTTTAAGACACAGAGAGAGCATGAACGGCAGAGGGGCAGAGAGAGAGGGAGACACAACCGGAAGCAGGCTCCAGGCTCTGAGCCATCAGCCCAGAGCCCGACGCGGGGTTCAAACTCATGGACCGCGAGATCGTGACCTGAGCTGAAGTCGGACGCTTAACTGACTGAGCCACCCAGGCGCTCCTCAAATGCAGTTATTCTTTAAAGAAAGGAGTGAAAGAAGCAGGCCCCAAATATTTCCCTTATTACTGAAAAAGACAGTGTGGAGGATCTAATAAGTCTCTGGACAAGTGGATTCCTAATATTAAAATCAAGAATTCAGCAGGCTTAACAAGAACAGACACAGAGGCCAATGGAACAGAGAATCCAGAAACGGACCCACAACTATATGTCAACTAATCTTCAACAAAGCAGGAAAGAATATCCAATGGAAAAAAGACAGTCTCTTCAGCAAATGGGGTTGAGAAAACTGGACAGCGACATGTAGAATATTGAACCTGGACCACTTTCTTACACCACACACAAAAATAAACTCAAAATGGATGAAAGACCTCAATGTGAGAGAGTAAACCATCAAAACCCTATAGGAGAACACAGGCAGCAACCTCTTTGACCTCAGCCACAGCAACTTCTTACTCTACACGTCTCAGAGGCAAGGGAAATAAAAGCAAAAATGAACTACTGGAACCTCATCAAAATAAAAGACTTCTGCCCTGCCAAGGAAACAATCAGCAAAACTAAAAGGCAACCGATGGAATGGGAGAAGATATTTGCAAATGACATACTGGATACAGGTTAGTATCGAAAATCTATAAAGAACTTATCAAAATCAACACCTGAAAAACAATCCAGTGAAGAAATGGGCACGAGACATGAATAGACACTTCTCCAAAGGAGACATCCAGACGGCCAACAGACACATGAAAAGATGCTCAATGTCACTCATCATCAGGGAAATACAAATGAAACCCACAATGAGATACCACCTCACACCTGTCAGAGTGGCTAACATTAACAACTCAGGAAGCAACAGATGTTGGCAACGATATGGAGAAAGAGAATCTCTTCTGCATTGCTGGTGGGAATGCAAGCTGGCACAACCACTCTGGAAAACACTGTGGACGTTCCTCAAAAAAATAAAAACAGAATTACCCCATGATCCAGCAATTGTACTACTAGGAATTTATCCAAAGGGATACAGGTGTACTGTTTTGAAGGGGCACAGGCACCCCAATGTTTAAGCAGCACTAGCAACAATAACCAAAGTATGGAAAGAGGCCAAATGTCCATCAATGGAGGAATGGATAAAGAAGATGTGTGTATATATATACAATGGAGTATGACTCGGCAATCAAAAAGAATGAAATCTTGCCATTTGCAACAACATGGATGGAAGTAGAGTGCATTATGCTAAGCGAAATTAAGTGAGAGAAAGACAAATATCACAATTTCACTTATGTGGAATTTAAGAAACAAAACAGATGAGGGGCGCCTGGGTGGCTCAGTCAACTAAGCGTCCTACTTCAGCTCAGGTCATGATCTCACAGTTTGTGAGTTTCAGCCCCATGTCAGGCTCTGTGCTGACTGCTCAGAGCCTGGAGCCTGCTTTGGATTTTGTGACTCTCTCTCTCTCTGCCCCTCCCTCACTCACACTCTATGTCTGTCAAAAATGAATAAATGTTAAAGAAAAAGATGAACAGGGATGAAAAAGATGAAAAGGGAAGGGAGCAAAAATAAGATAAAAACAGAGAGGGAGACAAACCATAAGAGGCTCTTAAATACAAAGAACAAACTGAGGGTTGATGGGGGAGGGCGGGGGGAAAGGGCAAGTGGGGGATGGGCACTGAGGAAGGCACTTGTTGGGAGGAGCATTGGGTGTTGTATGTAAATGATGAATCATGGGAATCTACTCCTGAAGCCAGGAGCACACTCTATGCCCTGTAGGTTAGCTAACTTGACAATAAATTATATTCTCTCTCTCTCTCTCTCTCTCTTTCTCTCTCTCACACACAGACACACACACACACACACATGAAAAAAAGAATTCAGGAGGCTTAACTTCTATTTACAAGAGTACTGAGCTAAGGACCCAGCTGCAGAGATGGCCCCCAAGGAGCAGAGGAGAATGTTATACCCAAGAGAAAACCACAGGGAAGACACAGTATGTGATATTCAGTTTGAGTCAGTGACCCAGGGCAGAGAGACTAACTCCTTTCCTGGGAAGGGGAAGAGCGAGAGAGAAGGCAGAGAGAGAATCTAGCTAGGAGTACGAGTATTAGTAAATACTCCTCCACAGGGGAAAAAGCCCAACAGGAATGGGAAATGAGAATTCCCCTCTAATAATACATTTAAAATATTTCAAAAACTTTCTGATACAGATTAAGTACTTAATAAGTATCAGCTACTATTGTTTACTTAACCCAATTAATCTTTTAATTTTAAGAAATTTGGAATTATTTTATACAGATATATCCATTTAGGTGAGACAAAGGCTTGAGAAAAATCTGGATAATTTCCAGTGAAAAAGCTTTTGTCTAGAATATTTAATTTTGCACAGTATTTTCCACACTTATTCTAGATAACTGAATGTATTCCATCACTTCATTTATGCTGAGTTAGGTGACATGGCAGAGCACGCCTTCTAATTTAATCAGCGCTGTTTCCACTCTTCATCTCCTCCACTAAATGATAAACAGTATTAAGTGCTATTTGTACTTATCTATGAGTGTATACTTCATACTTCATTTTTACTTTTTTTTTGTAAAGTTTATTTTGAGAGTGAGTGTGCATGAGTTGGGGAGGGGCAGAGAGACAACATCCTGAGCCTGCACCGCACTGTCAGTGCAGAGACCAATGTGGGGCTGGAACTCACAAACCTCGAGATCATGACTTGAGGTGAAATTAAGAGTCAGATGCTTAACTGACTGCGCCACCCAGGCGTCTCCACACTTCATACTTTCTAATAAAAGTTTGCCAGAAGTCTGTTTTAGCCATTAATGCCTTATTCCTGCAGGACACTCCCTCTTAGAGGCAAAGAAATAATTATCAATTATTATCAAGATCAAACCTTTTTGTTTACACTCAATTTAAACAGCCACATTGTTGAGGCTACCTCCTGACATCTGTGCCA